TGACGAGAGATAAAGTGACGAGAGATAAAGTGGCGAGAGATAAAGTGGCGAGAGATAAAGTGACGAGAGATAAAGTGGCGAGAGATAAAGTGGCGAGAGATAAAGTGATGAGAGATAGTGATGAGAGATAAAGTGACGAGAGATAAAGTGACGAGAGATAAAGTGACGAGAGATAGTGATGAGAGATAAAGTGATGAGATAAAGTGACGACAGATAAAGTGATGAGAGATAGTGATGAGAGATACAGTGATGAGAGATAAAGTGGCGAGAGATAAAGTGGCGAGAGATAAAGTGACGAGAGATAAAGTGATGAGAGATAAAGTGACGAGAGATAAAGCGACGACAGATAAAGCGACGAGAGATAAAGCGACGAGAGATAAAGTGATGAGAGATAAAGTGATGAGAGATAAAGTGACGAGAGATAAAGTGATGAGAGATAAAGTGATGAGAGATAAAGTGACGACAGATAAAGTGACAAGAGAGATAAAGTGACCAGAGATAAAGTGACGAGAGAGATAAAGTGATGAGAGATAGTGGTGAGAGATAAAGTGACGAGAGATAAAGTGGCGAGAGATAAAGTGATGAGAGATAAAGTGATGAGAGATAAAGCGACGAGAGATAAAGTGACGACAGATAAAGTGACGACAGATAAAGTGATGAGAGATAAAGTGATGAGAGATAAAGTGGTGAGAGATAAAGTGATGACAGATAAAGTGACGAGAGATAAAGTGGTGAGAGATGAAGGTACATTAATTAAAAATATATAATTTCATCATGCAATGTATTTTTATTTACTTTATATTTCTTACAACTAATTTTTATTTTTGCGTTATGAATTCCCATATATTTAATTGCTTATGTATTAAGTAATTAATTCAAGCATTCCTCGCGAATAACGATGACACCGTACCACGCACTACCCCCCTTCCTCACGCACTACCCCCCTTCCTCGCACACTACCCCCCTTCCTCACGCACTACCCCCCTTCCTCACGCACTCACCTTCCTCGCACACTCACCTTCCTCGCACACTCACCTTCCTCACACACTCACCTTCCCGCTAAACCCCCAACGCCATCCCCGCCCGCCATCCCGCGAGCCCCCCCTTCCACAATTTAAATGCAAATAACAGGAGCGAAAACCCTTTAAATCAGCAGCACTCCTGCATGCGCCCGCTTGTAAATTAATTAGGACCTTAATGTGAGAATCACGTAATGAAATGCGAACCGTTTCACTATTTTTTTAAATTTTAATTGACTTTGGGGTGCTAAACGCGCAACGCGTCCACAGCCGAAATAAAAAATAAAAACCCACTTGCAGGCACGCGCAAGTGCCCTTAGCCCGTCACAAAGAGGCTCTGCGAGCGTGTGTGAGGAGGAGGCCATTTCCAGAGAGTGACCGTGTAAACACAGGGCGACCCCTGGGCATCTGTGGAAAAAGAGCTTCATAGCGCATCGGGATTTCTCCAGGATAAATAAAAAAAAATTCTCATTCTGGAATGCCCGAGGGAACGATTGCTATCCGTTCCGCCTTCCCGCCCTCCACGCCGGGGGCACACGGAGCTAACGGGGGACACGCCGAGACCACTCAGCGTGTGTGTCCCCGTCACCGATTGCCAAATGAATTTATTTTTTTATAACATTTCCCCCCCCCCCGACATCGTGACCGACGTTTCGCTCCCCGTGCCGGAGGGGGTCAAGCGGGCTGCCAACTTAAATGTTGTGAGGTCAGGTAACAAAAATCTCCTTCCCCCAGCCATGCTGCTATTGTTTACTGGTAACCGGATGTGAGCGTCGCCTTGCTTTCCACCGGCTTCAGCGTCACACTGCACGGGAGGCGAATTACTTGGTTCACTGGTGATGATGGCGTTGCTACGTTGAAGCGTTTAGTTACTCGACTTAAGCAGTGTAGAACTTAAGGCTGACCCTGCGCCCCATGAGTGAAACCAATGAAGCAGCTGTAATTTTGGCAAATGTCAGCTCTCCCTTGTAGAACATCGCTAGAATTCACAGCACTCAGTCACCAGCATCTGTTTATATAACCGTGTTGTCATAATAGTCGGCCGTGGTCAATCCACTGCTGGATAATTGCTTCCTCCCAATGCTCTCGGATCTAGCTATGCAATAACAGATCGAGCACCTGCACGGGGGATTGATTTAATCATTCTATCTCCTCGGGGGACCTCCACATCACCATCCATTTTTATTATTACACGCTTTTAACTCAAATCTTGTAACTCAATTTTTACCAACTTCCCAATATTGTATCGACTGCAAACTTGGTATACTTATGTCATACGGATGACAATACTATATTCTATCATTAAAAATTAAAACATTATTATGCAAATGTTATGTTTCGGCTTGAGTCTAATTGTCCACGCTGAACTGACGTTGGCTATAAATCACCATGGCCCCTGACGTTATGGCAAAGATTCGAGGCCACTTTATGGAGTCATGGAGTTCTGCCATTACGAATACGGTACATTTCATTAAAGCGTGTTTTAAAAAAAAGTATTTTTAAATATTACTTATTTGTTTACAACCGACCTGGCCACGCACGGTCAAATCCGAAGATGTAACAAACCAGGCCAGATTGACGTCACTGTCTGTGTTTCACATCATAAAAAATTTAAACGTATTTTAGAGAGCGGCCAATTGTGATCTCCCGGCCTCCGCCACACCACGCGATGGTTCAGGTCACCACCGACCGCGAGAACCAAAGTTCCTCGCGCACCCATTCACAAGTCACACACAACGCCAAGAGCAACAGCTGCCATTCGCCACTAAGCGACGGTGACTTCACCACGGCGCCTGCACCAGGCCAGGTGAAGTGTCGAAGGCTCGCTGTTGACAGGAGGTCACCGGACAGTCACGCACAAACCCAGCACGTAAGCACACAATCGTTACGGAACTGTCCAAAGCACGCCACTGCAGAACCCTCCTGAAAGAGAGCCTTGAGACTCGGTGAAGCCTTCCCAGGCAAACGGATAACTATTTGAGGGGTCCTTGTACGACGCGCACAGCTCGGCGGCGAGCGGCTCACGTTGGAGCGCATGTCGTTGTTTGGCGCAATTTCGAACCCACGTCTAACGTTGCACTCCACGTGCTCGGGAGCTTCTTTAAATTTCTGAAGACATTCCACCCCCCCCCCCTGACCACTGCAAGAAGCTACTGGGGAGAGGGCATGGGAGGCAAAAAGTCGGACATGATACCCGCAACGAACCGCGGTTAACGACCCCATCGGAGGGTCGAACGGCAAGTCAAGACTCGATTGGTTAGCATTTGGCCTCCGAAGCCCCGTTTGTACAGTCCTTGCTCCCTCCGTCGGCCTGAACGTAACACATACGCATGCGACGGGGACGTGAAATCCGACTCAAATGAAAAAAAAAAACGTTCATCGTTACATCTCCCCCCCCTCCCCACCACTGGTCACCCAAGGTTGGACGGGTTATAGGCGGATATGGGGAAAGGTCCGCGTGCACGTGAACATCCGTGTAATGGGACAGTTTACGCCGCCACGCACAAACAGGTTACCGGACACAAATAAAGCGTGCGCCGCTTCGGACGCCGGGCGGTGTAGGGGGGGGGTAACGGGAAATCCTTCGCTGTGCATTAGCAGCCAATGCACACGAGATCAGCAACACGGCAGCGCGCGTGTCGAAGTCACATTTGCGAACATCCCGACAGCAGAAGGACGAGTGGGGCGCGGGCGGCGCCGGCGGATAATTGACCGGGCCGGATACGCGACGTTGTGCCGTAGGTCTGTCTCTCTCTCTCTGGCGGAACGGAACGTCCGATGCGAAAACAAACGACAACAACAAGTGACCTAAAAACCGGGGGGGTGGTGAGGTGGTTTAAGCACAACAAAAACACGCTGCTGCTGCTGCGCTTTCGGCCAGCTGTGCTGCATACCCACCATGAAACCAAACGCTGACAAACCCCCCCCTCCCTCCCCGCTCACCCACACCACCCACCCCACCCCAACCTTCTATCGCTGTCCGCTGATCGTGAAAGAAAATCTCTCTGCCAAGGCAGCAGCAGCAGTGTGATAAGCACTCCCAGGAAGAAATCTGCAGAATCTCTTCAACGAAATAAACGCCGCGTTAGATTTCACAAGCCAAGCAATGGGGGAAAAGAGAAAACATTTCTTTTTTTTTGGTTAAAAACCGAAAACGTTTGGGAAATGTTCACGCAGCTGAAGAAATTCAATCCTCAAACCATAAGAGCTTTGGGTGAGATGGCATGAATATGAATGTGTCGTAAAACACACCACCACCCGAAACAGCCAATTAGTAAGGTTTGTCAAGTAAACAAAACATGCCAATCCGTTACCAGTACAGCACACCGGTGTGTGTTGGAGAGTGAACCCACAACATTTACGATTCGAGTACAATGTTTCCCCGGTAATTACAACCAGCATCATCACGCGGCAGCCATTAATTTTGGAGAAATCCTGTTTCGGTCTTAGAGGGATACATGCGATGTCGTCACTTGTGAGCCAATCAGGTGCAAAGACCAGGGGGGGGGGGTGAATATATTCATATAAATTACAAAGAAACCCCAGCAATTCATTCTTGCAGCCCATTCCACCGCGCGCCGTTCGGTCCCTGAAGGAGCTCCCAATTCCAGAACGTCGAGCGAATAAACTGAATTCCGCTCGCGAGGAATGCACACCAACACTTTGGGGGGTGGTGGGGGGGGGCAGGGCAGGTTTTCTTCAACAACTGCGCGTACGAGGAGCGAAACGTCGGCGCGCCACGCGGTAGACCGCCCAGAAAACAAAAACCTGCAGAGCTGCGCGGCGTGACCGTGCTAACCCCCCCGCCACGCAAGCGGTTAAACCAAATACCTATTTTTGCCGTTTCTTGCTTATTTTTCCCCTCCTTTCTATTCACTTCAACAACAAAAAGTTGTGCCGGGAAGATTTACGTAAGAAACGACCGCGCAGATTTCCATCGCCGTCACCGCCGCCGGTGCTCGCGATGCGCGGATAACCCACCTGCGTGCTTGGAGGGCCTTGTTTAGGCTGCAGCTTTATCTGAAGCTTGATCTGCATGGGGGGCGGCTGCTGCTGCTGCTGGTTGACGGGCCCCGCCGACGACGGCGCTGCCCCCAAGCCCGGGTGGGGTAGGCCCTGCATGGGGGGCCCCTGGTGGTGGGGGCCCATATGCGGGTGGAGGGGCCCCATGTGAGGGGGCCCCTGGTGGGGTGGGCCTGTGTGGTAGGGATCCTGATGCAGAGGGCCCTGGTGAGGCATGCCTGGGTGAGGTGGCATCTGGTGAGGTGGCACCTGGTGGTGGGGACCCTGGTGGTGGGGTCCCGGGTGAGGTGGGCCCGGGTGAGGTGGACCTGGGTGTGGTAGGCCAGGGTGAGGTGACATTTGGTGAGGAGACATCTGGTGAGGTGACATCTGGTGAGGTGACATCTGGTGGAGGGGTCCCTGGTGAGGGGGGCCGGGGTGAGGTGGCCCAGGGTGTAGAGGTCCCTGGTGAGGTGGGCCATGATGTGGAGGTCCCAGGTGAGGGCCATGATGAGGGGGTCCCGGGTGAGGGGAACCCTGGTGAGGACCAAGGTGAGTGGGTCCTTGGTGAGGACTCTGATGAGGACCTGGATGAGGTCCTGGATGTGGAGATCCTGGGTGAGGTGGGCCTTGGTGAGTCATGCCCGAATGAGGTGGCCCTTGGTGAGGGGATCCCTGGTGAGGACTCTGATGAGGGGGTCCTGGGTGAGGTGGACCTGGGTGAGGAGGCCCATGATGGGGAGGTCCCTGGTGAGGCGGACCCTGGTGAGGAGGTCCCGGGTGGGGCGGACCCTGGTGAGGAGGTCCCGGGTGGGGCGGACCCTGGTGAGGAGGTCCCGGGTGGGGACCCTGGTGAGGTCCCGGGTGGGGACCCTGGTGAGGTCCTGGGTGGGGACCCTGGTGAGGTCCCGGGTGGGGACCCTGGTGAGGTCCTGGGTGCGGACCCTGGTGAGGAGGTCCCGGGTGGGGACCATGGTTAGGAGGGCCCGGGTGGGGACCCTGGTGAGGCGGACCCGGATGAGGACCCTGGTGAGGAGGTCCCTGATGGGGTGGCCCAGGATGAGGTGGGCCCTGGTGAGGTGGGCCCTGGTGAGGTGGGCCCTGGTGAGGTGGGCCCGAGTGGGCCGGCGCTAGCACAAACCGCTGGCCCGACAGCGCCACCATGCCACCGCCGCTGGAGGCAGGCTGAGGCCCAGCGGTGCCCACCATTGTCACCTGGCACACACGAGCACCGCCAAAAGTTGGGGACGACGGTAACGACCCCCCCTCCAACCCCGCCCCTCTCCCCCAGTGATCTATCTCTCCCGCCGGTCACTGCATCCACATCCGAAGTCAAAACCTCCGCCGATTAACTCCCACGGGCACCGGAATCTCTGGTGGATTATAAGACGCAACTGCCTCCCCCGACCTCAAGGTATTGAATAAGCAAGTTTTGGTGGGGGGGGAGTGCGTCTTACAATCCCAATAGGTAAGTGCGACCAGATTTGTAGAACTTTAGTGACACTGGGAAGACGTTTTTGGAGCGCGTCTCTAATTGCAGCAGTGTGAAACGGGAGTTGCATTCAGACGCTTCACAAATCCGAATTAAGCAGAAAAAAACCCCCCATGAAAATAACGGGCCCAGTTTCCAATAAACAATTCAAAATAAATCTAGATGATTTTTAGCACGTGTATATTTTTTTAAAGTAAGATCAAGCAAAAGTTTTAAAACCTAACTTTAACCAACTTGATATAAAAACGGACCTCAACGGTATAAAGTTATTCAGCACCAAGACGTTTAAAAGTGAGATCCATAAAGGATGATATTTGAACAAAACTGTGACGTTTGTGCGGCACAATACTTGTAAGTGTAACGCCAGTGCCGTGGATTCAAATTGTTTGCCTACGTTTGCTAAAAAAATAACTCATCGACACCTGAGCAGTACAGTGCCATACAAGCTGCCTTCAGTTTTTTTTTTTATCCAACACACCCTTATGGAGCATGGGCCTCAAACGCTCGGCGGCCAGTAATAAAACATCACGCCCACAGGGGTCACACGGATAAGAGTGAACAGTTTTTCGAATTGGGCAAGGTTACGAATGGAAATTCGGGAAAGAGACGACAATGGGAGGGGATTCCAAGTAGGGCAGCGCGAGGGTAACAAGCAAGAAGAGTTGTACCCCTGCAGTGAGGATGAGAGAGTGGGTGCGTGTGCAAGTTTACCAGTGCGTGAGTGGGTGTCCAGTTATACCCCTGCAGTGTGGATGAGTGTGTGGGCGAGTGTGTACGATTACGAGAGTGGGTGGGCGAGCGTGCTGTTGTGACCTGCACTGCGGTGGTGGCTGAACACTGTTTCGTCTCATCCACCACGGTCGGTTTGGTAGAGAGAGTCCTCAACACGGGGTGGAGCGATCAACCATCGGAACCAATCCACGGCCTCACAGATCCCCCTTTCCGGACGTTACAAACCATCACCGTGTGCTCTCTCTCCCAGCCACGCTCGTAAGCATTTCATTCCATTCATTCATCCATTCAATCACGGGAGGAGCTCACCTGTTGAGACTGCTGCTGCATAACGGGAAATCCGCTCGGTTGCTGGCCGGGTCCCAGTGGCTGCTGGCTTAGGCCTCCTCCCTTCATGGGGGACGCGCTGAAGTTTCCCTGAGTGTGCTGCGACTGTGCCTGGCTCTGAGGATTCGCAGTGTTCTGCATAGCCGACATTTGGTTCATTTGGTTTGGGTTCAGAGGGTGTACATTCATGGCCCCTTGGGCATGCCGCAGGAACTGGGGGCTCCCGGGGCCCCCTGCGAAGCCGTGGCCCGGCGGCGGCCCGTCGTGGCCCATTGCGCCCGGGTTGGCAGGCCTCTGCGGCTGCGTGGCGTACTGGTACGGGTGAGGGAACTGTCCTGAGTTGCTCGCACCGTGGTTAGAGGGTGGCGGAGGCATGCTGTTCGTCTGACCCCTGACCGGATACTGCTGCTGCTGCGGTGGCGGCGGGGGCGCCCCCGGGGCCTGCATGTAGGCCGGTGGGCCACACGCCTGGTGGGGCGGCATCATGCCATGCGAGTGCGGCACCGCCACGCCGCCCATGTACGGGTTGCGGCCGTCCGGCCCGTACTGGTTCATCCTCTGCTGGGGGGGTGGCGGCGGTGGCCCCGGCCCCACAGGCGGATGAGGCCCACCTTGGGGAGGCTGCATGGGGCCCTGCTGCTGCTGCTGGTGTAAGGCATAGTCGTGGTGAGGTTGCATGTAGCTAAGCTGCTGCGTCTGCATAGTCGGCGGCGGATGTCCAACCTGGTGGTACGCATTGGAGTTTGGCGGAGGAGCAGGGGGCCCGCTGGCCGGGCCCTGCCCCCCCCACAAAGGGTCTGCATCCATGTAGGGTGGACACAGGCCGTACTGGCCAGTGGGGGGGTTGGGGTGGTACTGCGGGCCCTGAGGCCCCGCGATCCCGTTGCCCTGCTCCCCCTGCTGCGGGTACTTTCTGGGCGACTGATACTGCGCATACTGCTCGTAGTGGTGTAGCTTGTGCTGAGGCTGCTGCTGCTGTTGAGGCTGCTGCTGCTGCATCCCACCGTAGCCTTGCTCCATCTGCAGCTGCTGCTCTAGGGGGTCGGCGGCAGCGCCTCCACCGTCGGCGAAGGCCTCGGCGCCAAGCCCCGGCAGGCTCTCCGAGTCGAAGATGTTGCCATCTTCGAAGAGATCCATCATGGGGTCGGCCATAATGCCCGTCGTCGTCGCAGTCCCTCTTCCTCCTCCTCCTCCTCCCCACGTCCGCGCGGGTGGTGGGACGGCTCCCTCCTCTGCCTTCTCCTCCTCCTTCCTTCGTCCGCGTCTCGACTGGCCTTCCTGCTGGCTCTGCGAGTCAACGGCATCAACGCCAGCGCGCAGGCCCCCTCTGCTCGCCGCCGCTAAGCCATCATTGCTGGCCAAACTTTCTCGAGAGGTGACCGAGGGGGGGTGTGTGGGGCAGGTGGGGAGGAGGTGGTGGTGTGGGGAGGAGGATGAGGAGGTTATTTATTGTTTTTTATGTTTTTGGGGAGGGGATGGGGAAGGGGAATCCCTCATCTATTTCACCGATTTCCTGCAAAGAGAAGAGAGAAAGAACAAATAAACAACCTGGGTTTAATTTAATTTGTTGTTGTGCATCTTCCCCCGTCAACATCACTACCCCCCCCCCCCTTCTTCCTTCGCTCAGGAAGCCATAAGATGAGGAAAATGTTTGTGAAAAATAAAAAGTGTCCCATAACTTACCACTTTGGGGGGACATTATGGAAATATTTAAGTGGCTGGCTGGTTCCGATAGGGGACAGGCAAGGCGTGTTTACACACAACAGATTTTCTTTCGTAAACAGACGCACGGCTAAAAGGGTGCCTCTCAGACTTCGGTGTCCTTGATGAAGGCGGCGGCCATCGAAAGGGAAGAAATAAAACAAAGAGCATTTTTATTAAATTTTAAACGGGGTCTGCCAGACCAGTGCGGGAGATGGTGGAGGGGGCAGTGAGTGGCGGGGTAGGGGAGGGGGGGGAAAGTTCAAATCGTGAGTGGGGGGGCACCCACAATTGTATTTAAATGGAAAGGTGGCATTACTTTGTGAGGTAAGTGGTGAGGTGGGATCTGCAACCCCCCCACCCCAAGCCTTATAAAACAACCACCACAGGAAGTACGGACCGCCGTGTTACACCACGTCGTCGTCCCCCCTCGTCACAATCCCCCTCGGCCTGAGCCAGATAGGATCCTCAAAATATGACGACTCGGCCGGTCTCAAACAACAAAATTAGTTTGAGTGTTGAGGTCAAGTCCACACTCGTCCAAACCAACCGCCGTCATTTCCATCGTCGTCACCATCTCTCCATTTTAATGTGGACAGGCGATGGCACAGCAGCTGCCACAGCAGCAGCAGCCTCATCACCCATCAGCCACCACTACCACTGTCAGCATCGGCAGTATCATCACAACAACCACCACCACCAGTAAGTGTGGACACCTCCACACACTTTGTTCAAATACAGGCAAGCACCGGCAAGCCCGAATTCGCAACTATCACCATCAACTACACTATCAGCATCATTACCATCAGCGGCATCACAATCACGAACATTATCACGACCATCACCATCATTACCAGTCGGTGTGCAGGGACCGGCAACACTTGGTCGGAACACAACGGGAAACCATGACCACCATCGCGATCGTCACTACCGTGGCCATAAAGATTCTTCACCACTAGCAGCAGCAGCATCGCCAATGAGCGGCACCATCTCCAACATCGGCAAGAACCTCACCACCACCATCGCCGTCGTCACCATTATCAGTTCAAATGCGGACAGGCGATCAAAGTCACTCGAACACAGCAACGACAGCAGCCTCATAAGCGCGGTCACACATCGCCACCATGACCACAGTCGCCGTGAAAAAAAAGAGCTTTACAGCTCATCGGATTCCTCCGGTAGAAATAAACATTCAGATTTCGGATCCGTTTCATGTGTGTGACATGCGACCCACACGCACAGAGACACTCGCTCAAACACAGCGGGAAAAACGCAGCAGCAGCCTCAATCAACCCTCCACCGCCATCGCCACGATCATCAGCAAGCACCGCGTCTATCAGCATCATGATCATCACGATCATCACGATCATCATCATCAGCCAGCGGGGGGGGGTAATGCTGCTAGCCGTGTGGCCCCCGTGTTTAGCGGGTGGAAGAGACGGGGAGAGAGCGGGGAGAGGGAGGACGCGCGGCGAGGTGCAGGAGGCGGCGGCGCAAACAAAAGCTGCCATTTTAGTGCCCTCAGCGCGGCGCGCGGAGACAGCCACAACAACAACAACAAACAACAACAACAAACACCACCACCGCCACTCTCCTTCGTACTCAACGCGGCGCTCACAACAACGCGTCTGTGTGCGTCGTCCACCGCTACAAACATCGCCGTTACGATGTCACCTCGACTCTTGTTTTTCGTCTTGTTATTTGACTACAAAGGCAGACCCCCCCCCCCACACCGGAGGGATCGTGGTATCCACTGGTCCTCCCGGGGTCCCTCTCTTCCCCCATGTCGCTCCAAAGGGGACCCCCCCCCTGCCCGACTCGCCCCTTACCCCAATCCCTGGGGTCTGCCCTCCGGCACCCCGCTCAATGCGGGTCCATCCCCTACCGTCTCCACCCCCCTTCGTGTCCCTCGCTAAGGGGCTCGTGCCTACTCGCTTACCCCCATTTGACCCACTCCCTGGGGTCCCCTCACTCCCTGGGGTCCTCTCGCACCCTTTTCTCGACTCCCAGGAGTACCCCCAAAGAGGTTTGTCGTCACTCTACCCCCTTACCCCCTCGACCCCATTTGCTCCACTGAGCACCCCCCCCCTCCGTCACCCCCACATCGTGCCCTCGAGAGTCGCTCCCCCTACAGTCTCTCCGTCTTTGTCCGTCCAAGAGGAACCCTCGTATCGTCTCTAACCCCCCCTTACCCCCTTTTATCCCGGTCCCCGGGGTCCCCCTCGTGTCCCCTCGGGAGCGAACAAAGGCCGGTAGGCCCCGTGTCACCACGCCGAGCCTCGGATAGAGGGGGCGGCGGTGGCCATGCCGGCCCGGCCGGGGTTAGGCAAGGGTCGTCCCGTCCGCGGGTTCCTACCCCACTTTTAACTCCGTGCCCCCCTTGATCCGCATCCCCTCAATGCGTACTTTACCCCCATGGGCACGAACAAACAAGGGGTGGGGGGCTTAGGGAGTTGTGGGGAGGAGGAGGAGGATGGGGGGGGGGGTAGTTGGAGGAGTGGAGTGGCGGCCCGAACACGTGCGTCTGTCAAAGCGCGACTCCCCCCTCTCGCCTCGCTCTCTCGTCGCGCTCTCCATCCCCCTTGCAGGAGAGACGAGGGGATAGGACCCCCCCCTCTCTCCCCACCTCTCCATTCGAGCCGCTAGCCAGCACGATGAGGTGGCCGCCCAGGGGTTCGGCGAAGCCGCCCGCGCCGAAATCGTCGCGAAGCGGACCGAGCGGAGCGACGCGAACGGCAACAAAAGAGCGGCGGGCGAGGCGAGCGCCATTTGGGACACCCGAGCGGGGAGGACGAGGAGATGGTGATGAGGAGGAGGAGAACGAAGAGAGGAGGAGGATGAGGTAGAAGAGGGGGACACGGAGAGAGACAGAGGAGAGAGCAAGTCGAGAGAGGCTAGGCATGGGCAGGGGTATGGCGAGAGACGATGGGACACAGAGAACAGAAACGGGATGAGACGGGGTTAGAAGACTCCGGGTCGGGGTGGGTTAGAGGCACCGCAGCGGCCCCGTCCGAGGGGAGCCAGGGCCCCCCACTATCCCCGCAAGCGAGGGGACCGTCGTACCCCTCGCCGAGCCGGCTCGCTTACCCATGAGGGCCCCGGGAGGGCGAGCGGGCCGACGGACAGAGCTCCCAGGCGCCGCGCCGTCGGGAAGTTGGACGCGGGCTCTGGAGCCGGGGGGAGGGGCCGCGGGGAGTGAGGGGCGGGGGGGGGCTGTGAGGAGGGGGTGGGGAGGGGAGGGGCTATGGGGGAGGAGTTGGGTGGGTGGGCGTGGTCACGTGGAGCCGTTGTGGGAGGGGTTCGGATCTAATTAGATTTCCTAGAGCGAACAGGCGCCGGGACCGGCACCGCCCCCGATCACGTGGTAAGGCGAAACGTGAGGTGATTGGACGAGGTGAGAGCGAGGGTGCGCGTGCGCTCTAGGGTATTTTAATTTGGGTCCGCCGAGAGGCGGAGGAACGCGGCGGGGGGGGGGGGTTAAGAGGCGGGGTTCCGGTAGTAGCGGGGGGAGGTTTGGGTGGGGGGAAGTCTGCAACCGGAACCCCGCCCCTCACACGTGCGTCGCTGATTTAAAGTGCTCATTGTTGTGAGCACGTGTTGGGGAATTAATGGAAAGTGAAGTACTTCGAACTCATCAGCAGCCACGGTCGATCGGCTGCGTGATGAAGGCCTCTCCAAGCCGCCGCCGCCACCTCTCACGCCTAAGCGACGGAACATGCCCGATTATACAGTAACTCACAATGACAATAAGTAATTGATAACAAAGGGCTTTGCAAGCAACGTATAATTATCAATCTATTTGTGTGCTAATCCCAGCGAGTGACATCTGGACCGGTTCTGCGTGTCCTCCCCCCACCAGCCCGCACTAACCATCGTGGTGAGGTCTGGTCCAACAAGTCCCATGAATAGTGGGTTGAGAAAGCGCGTCACTAAAATGTATCCAGAAAATCCTCGCAAGAGCCCTAAGAGAATGTTTGGCCCGATTATGTTTAACTTGCACGTGCATTGGCCATTTACTGACTGCTCATTAAGAGAGGCATTGGTAGCAACAACACGCACCAGCAAAGAACAACAATTAAACACTGATCCCCGCCATGAAAATGTAGAATTTCCACCATTCACTCCACTCACTGTGGAATAGAATAACTCTCCAGAGGCACTCTCTAGAGCTCCCTCTACTGGAGGGCCTTCCGCCATCAGTGGCACAACGTTGAACGCGTACCATGCACAGCCACTTTTGCCACTCCACTGCTGGATGAGGCCCTCCCACAAGTTTGTGCGGGGCGTGTGCGGTTAATTTACCATTCCTCACCACGCCGGTCAGTGCGAGTTGATCAAAACAAACTCTGAACAGGAATTCGTTTCAAAGGATCCTGTCGACCCCTGCCAAAGAGGAGGAGGAGGAGGCGGTGGTGGATCACTGAAGCGACCCCCCCAACTCATAACGGAAAACGGACGCGAGCCGTCACGGCACGAGAGGGAGGCAGAAGCAGGTCTGGAGGCAATCCGGCAGTGCCCAAAAACAATCTAAGTGGCCACCAGAAACTAGAATCTTTATGTTGCATAGAATGTCCTGGACGTGTTACTACCGCGGGGGGTTTTCTCGGTTGTGCTGCTGCACTGCAATATAACGTGGTTTGTGTTTGGGCTGCAGCGTGCCTCTCTCCCATGACCGCGTGTTGTTCCCTATGATGTCCAGCGAAGAAGGTTCCCAGCACGTTGGGCGAAACTTCAAAGGCACAAACACACGTGCGCGCGTCATTTATCACGCAGTGAAGAGACGATGGCGAATGACGAAACAAATGGTGAGACCTTCATCATCCAAAGTGGACGAGAGCTCATGATGATGACAAGCCTCCATCCAGCAGTGGATCGACCGTGGCTTGCCTGACGAAAAAAAATCTCTAAAAATTAAATTGAGCGCACGAACATTTCCCAATGCCTTCGACTTCCAACAGCCGCTTGAAGCATTGTGTGATGAAGCGAAAATGAAAAGCAGAAGGAAAGGCGTGTGTTAGTTAACATGCCGTAGCTTACACCTGTGGTTGGTGATGGTGGTAAGTGGAATTAACGTTGAGGCTCAAGTGAGTTGGGGTTGGTGGGCCCCGCACACACGTGGGGATGGTGGCCGCCACACACACACGGTGGGGGTGGTGGGCCCCAGGTGGTGGGCCCGACACCCACTGTGTTTTGAAACGGAGCCTCGTCCCGGCCGGTAGCGCCACCTGGTGGCAATGAGAGCGAGCTGCCATCACCGTGGCGAAGACGAAGCGCTCGACAATCCCTGCTTGTCTCAACCTTTTTGGTATTATTCCCCCCTTCTCCCCACATTCGTTACTAAAAATATAACTAAGGTTACTGAAGCCAAAATAAAGAGAGATCACGTGCCCACGTCTGTAGTCACCGCAGTGAGTAAAAGAGTGAATGACATTATATCATGAGGTTGTGCTTGTTAGATCGCGCAAAATATAAATGTGTCGTTAAACCCGCCACCACCTGACACAAACAATTAGTAAGGTTTGTCACGTAAACAAAACGTGCCATTTCGTTACTAGTTCAGCACACCGGTGTGGAGAGTAAACCCACAACATTTACAATTCGAGTACGACGTTTCGCCAGTCATTACAACAAGCATCATCAGGCTGAGAGCCACAGTGGAGAAATCCTCCTGCTGCGGTTGTTTTGTAAAATAAAGAATTATTGCGATAAATATTGTTTTACATCTCGCACCGGTTTACCGCCAATACCTTGATTTGCTGATTCTGGTGCTGCGTTAGCAGTGGTGGACAAGCACACATAACACTTAACCGCTACCTTAAAATTACATATATAACGTTCGGAGGCAATTACCCATCCCCAGCTAAGGACAGAGAACTGACACAATAACGAACGGTGCCGTGGGGTGGATAAAATGCAGTGAGGTGGCACAGTTGGTAGCACAGGTGGTGCATCTGTCAGTCAACTCAGTCAACCCACAGCACCTGGGTCTGTCCCGTGACCTCCTGCTCACAAGCCTTCCTCGACGTGTGGAGTTTAAATTTCCCCGAAGCTGTTCATGGTCTACCATAAACCGCATCCACTGCACTAACGATGGCAGATGCGGATACCTGATACACAAATGGAAAATGGAAAACTCTCCAGTAGTAGTGTGCGACTGTGGTCATCTAGAACAGACCGTAAAAAAACATATAACGACGCAAAGACCCCGAAGGAGACATCACAGCGATGATAGACTCCGCTGCTCTTCACTTGGTTCTCTGGGCTTGACCAACCTGAATTGTGAAATTGTAGTTCTAGATTTGAAGCTTTCGTGACTGCAAGGATTCATACTCTTTGTTTTTTTCGGTGAAGTCACATAGGTAAAATAAAATAAATGAAAACAACTAAATTAAATCACGACGTTTCGGAGGCAACACAAGCTTCCGTCTTCAGGTGGAAACCGTCACAGCAAAATTGCTGTATCAACCGAGAGGATGGTTATAAATTGAGCAATCATTGGAAAGGTGTCATAAACCAAGTAAAACTTTAGCTGCCTTATAATTGTACAGCCATTTCAATTTCTTCCAGTCGGTTGTGCTCGTTTTCGATCACCGCTCGCCAATCGCCTCTCCATCCCCCTAACCCCCTCCAGCATAACAAAAGGCGGCTTAACTTAGCCCCTCTCCACGGCCCTTCCTGGCTCCTCCCCCCCCCCCCCCCTTAACCTGTATATAATCTCGGGTCTCTAAGAGCTCTTCACTTGATACAGCTATTTTGCTTTGACTGTTCCACCTGAAGACGGAAGCTTTTGTTGCCTCTGTAACGTCGTGATTTAATTTAGTTGTTTTCTTTTATTTTACTTATGTGACTTTACCGAAAAAAACAAAGAGAAATTGTAGTTGTTGCTCTGCATCTACAAGAAGACTTGACGTGGCCTCGGAGTGCACCTAGCCTGGCGCAAGCGCCGTGGTGACATCACTGCCACTTGATTCTTGGCGAATGGTTGTTGTGTTTCTGTGTTTGTGAGGGCGAGCCCATGTGTGTATGTGAGTATCAGAATATCTATTTCGACTGCAGGAATCCGATGACCTCTGAAGCTCTTTATCACAGATGTCCAGAGTGCAAAATAGAGAACATGGAAAGCAAGTAATTATGTAAAATTACAGCACGTACATTCAATAAGTCCAGTGCTGGATTAAGCTAATGCGGGGCCTGTAGCATATGTTATAAAGGGGCCCTAAATAAAATAAAAACACTCAAATATTAAACCACAAACATTTTTAACTTGTGTAGTGACATTGAATGAGTTACTGTAGCGCGTGGCGCTGGGAGATTGGTAGACAATGGGATTGGGGGTAGCAGCCCGTTCTACCAGTTGGACATGTGGGCGAAGCACGGAGCCTTCTGGGGGATCCAGAGGGGGGTGGAGCCTAGAGCGGAGCCTGGCCACGTTGGGGAGGATAAAAGGACGAGCTCCTACTCACAGTCGGGGCTGCTGCCATCTGGAGTGGAACTCGTCTTGCTGCCGTTGTCGTGGACTTCGCCTCTTCAAGCTGTGGGTCTGGAAGCATGTTGGTTGTCCTGACCCGGTATGTAGTTATCCCCTATAGCTGTAAAGCCCGGAATAAACAAGAGAGAGTGCCTCCTACTCGTGTCTCTGAATTAGTACACTACACTTGCATAATAAGGTAATTGTATTTTTTCAATTGCTATAGAGCCAGGTAATATGACAAATTGCTAACCTTAAACACCCTGTCGTTCATAAAAGTTGAAGGCGGTATAGTACTATAGTAATAGAGCAAGTGCAGAATCACTGAACCGGAATTGATGGCTTGAAAGCATTTAGCACGGGGCCCTTGAAAGTGTGGGGCCCGTAGCATTTGTAGCTACTTTTCCCACGAGGATAATCCGGCACTGAATAAATCCCGTTGATCAAGCTTGGGCAAGGCAGCAAAAAGAACAAAAACAGCGCAGTCCCAGACCACACCAAGATAACACCACACAGTAGCAGTCCCTCAATACAATGGCACATTAACATTGAACTATCGATACTACACGGGTAAGGATCAAAGTCACAAATCACATTTGCAGACCGTGTCAACCCATTACGTTTTACCCGTTATTCTCGTACAGGGAAATTGAGTTTTCAGGTCCATGCGGCGTACAGCCGTTTCAATACGGGCAAAAAAAAGTGTCTGTTTGCGTTTCTGTAGGAT